CTATCTGAAATTCGTTCTGATTCATTCGTCATATTTAATAAAAATCAATGTAGTCTCTAACCCCTGAATTGATTTTCTTATTTACGACTCCGTAAGGTTTTGATTTTAACCATCAATTATCTTTTCTTTTGAAAGCATAAGGACAAAACATGTACATCTATATTCTTGAGTGTTGTTATAACACGCTAAGATTCGCCTGGATCGACTTAGAAAGGAGGCCGAGAGTATAGCTCGAGATAAGAAAGGTGTATAGAGTAGGCAGCTAAGAATGAAGTACCCATCTAAGTTTGGTAAGTGCTCGCAAAAAGAGGAGTATTACTCAGTTACCTTTCATAAATGTGACGGATAGACATGGCACTTAGTTTATGACCGGAGATATAACGCCAATTTACTTCGTAGATCTGCGGTTATAAGATGTTGTGCAGAGCCATAACGAGATAGTCCACCTGCTCGCCTTCTAAACCCAAATCTCTCCTATGTCTCAGTTGTTTATTTGATGGAGAGAATGCTAATACTAGGTATGTGATTAGATGCATAAGCCAGTGGTTTCCAAACTGTGCGCCGCGGCGCCCCGGGGAGCTTCAATTTGAGAAAATGTCATTTGCGGGTTCATCCATCACATTAATTATTAAATATTAATATAAGATCTATTCACCCTATTTCGTCTTAGGTAATGAAGTACTAGTAGTAGAATTTTCCCACAATGATATGAGTTGAGCTGACGTTTCCATTGAATTTCACAAAGCCTTGCTTTCCCAAAAGTTGTTCTCATTCAGGGTGGACTGCAATTTCGACCTCGCATCGGTCTTATCAAGACCCTCAGCGGGAGTCGAACCGCGACAGTGCAGGATGGGGTACTCGTGGCAGTGTAGCCGAGTGGTTAGCGCGTCAAGCTACCGTCCTGAACTGTCGCGGTTCGACTCCCACTGAGGGTGTTGATAAGACCGATGCGAAGTCGAAACTGCAGTCCACCCTGGATGAGAACAACTTTCGGGAAAGCAAGGCCATGTAAAATTCAATGAAAACGTCCGCTCAACTCATATCATTGTGGGAAAATTCTACTACTAGTACTTCATTACCTAAGACGAAATAGGGTGAATACATCTCATATGACTGATTTACTGATAGTCTCAAAACTCCACTTAAAATACGAAAAATAAATAACGTAGTCGATTGTTATAGAAAATACACGTTTGCTTCATCGACAATCCCACCGAAGAATATGATATGGCAAATGCCCAGCCTTCCTCGAGATTCAAATTTTCCCTGTGACCCATGGGCACTAGTGGCAATGTGGCCGAGTGGTAAACATGTCAAGCTCCCATTATTCACTGTCACGGTTCGACTCCCACTGGGGGTGTTAAGAAGACCAATGCGAGGTCGAAACAGCAGTCCAACCTGGATGAGTACAACTTTTAAGAAAGCAAGGCTATGTGAAATTCAATGGAAACGTCTGCTCTTCTCATATATTTGTGGGAAAATTCTATGACCAATCCTTCATCACATTAACCGAACTAGGGTTAATACATCTCATATGATCAAATACATCTACTTTTAGCCAACTAGCTCTAATTTCCGCTATACCTATATTGCCTTAATCCATAATATTAAGTCTATGGCTTTCTATGCTTTAGTCTCTTGTATGCCAACCCACAAATTTTGTGGTTCTACTTGTTTTGCTCAGGTTCAATGTAGAACCACAACATTTGTGGGTTAGAACACAAGAGACTATGACATAAGAGGTCATTGACCTGGTATTATGGATAAAAACAAAATAGACAGATCGGAGACTAGAGCCAGTTGGCTAACAATAGGCCTGTTTCATGAACCAGGTATATGATCAAACACGTCTATTGTTAGCCAACTATCTCTAGTCTCCACCGCATCTATCCTGTTTCTATTCATCCTATGACTTAGTAACATGCGAGCCAAACCATGAATCTTGTAAATCTACTTGATTTGATTAGGCTCACTAAAGATCATCATCCTTTTGGCTTCTGATTGTTCCTTTCTGCTTTCCTTGCGATTCCTTTTCCTAAAATTATATACGTTACCTTGATCCAATCGTCTTCCTTTTACTCCTCTTACTGTTGCCTAGTCTTCTACAAGTTTGTTTAGTCAATATGCAAAGTTTTCGCTGATCCTGCCTTCTTCAAGTCTCCTGTTCATTAGATTTCTCTCGTTCAGTATATCAATGGCCTCTCGGATCTTGCGTTTTCTCGTATTTTCACCATATGCAGCCAACCTTTTGGTCGATTTCCATTCGATATTTTGCCCCTTTCGTGCAATGTGTTCCGCTATTTCGGATCTTTTCATATCCATGTTCCTGCAGAGTCTTTGATGTCCCTTGATTCATAAGCCGATTTTTCTTCCTGTTTCACCGATATATTCTGCTCACAGTTGTCGCATTTAATGCCATAAACTCCCAAGCAATCAATTTGTTGTTCTTCTCATATTGCGTCGGCAGACTGGTGGAAAGTGTTTTCTCATTTTTTATCACCTTGATATTCCATTTCCTTAGTAACGGTCGCAATTTTCGGCTCACTTCTGATGAGGGCAGGCAAATCCATTTCTGGTCGTCCTCTTGATTCCTGATCTGATTTTCATAAAATATGAGGTGAAATCTGCCCTTTATAACTCCTACATTTTTTCTATAATTTATCTAAGGTACCTGTTACTAAGGCAAATCCGTGTCAGTTTGTCAAACTCCTCGTCTCAGAACTCAGTGTCCATTAGTCGCAAGCTCTACCTTTTAGTGCCGAATCTTTATCTCAACCCGACTTCATATGGCAGTCAGATTTCAGACAGTCAAACAGTGATTTCGATGCTTAGCAGCGGCTAATTGAAAAGCGAGTAGGAAAAA